TCCCGGTGATAGAGCAAGTTGCCGGATTCGAGGATTACCGTGTCCTCCCCCTCTCTTCGGACTTCGGATAATCCTATAATATGCCAGCGCAACTTGTCTATCTCTTGTTCCAGCTCCACGATCTTCTCGTCAGTCCTCAGGGTGCGTGCGTTGTACGTTGCCAGGTCGAGTCGTCTAAGGTGGCAACCGAACCTCCACCGGAGATTCTTAGCACCCCCTGCCCCGCCGTTACCATGGTCGCCACCGTAGCCAGGAATAGCGGGGCCGCCGGGGACTGGGGGCCGTCTCTTTGTTAGTAATATATATATATATATATATATTACTAGCTGGCCAGCCAGACGTTGTTCTGCCCTTTTCGAAGACCCTTCCTATAAAAAATTCTTAAATTTGCAATAAAAAAATATTGAAGTTTCACTTATCGGGATAAAAAGTATCTCTCAAGTTGGACCAAACTGCACACAGTGTATAAAATTTCATTGAAATCTGTTATCAGTTCAGTAGTTTAGGACATCGTGGACAAACAATGTGACAAGTAATTTTTATTTATATATATATATATAACAACACGATTTTATATATCTGCTCTATAAAATATAGTAGTAATTTACTAGATAGATAGGATTCCTTTTCTGCTTAAGACTCTATCGGGATAAGTACAACCCTCTCACCTATTTTTGCCGCCAAATCGCAGTGCTTGCTGCTGTGTTCCGGTCTGCAGGGTGTAAAGTGTCCTAATTACAGGCCGTAAGTCATTTTAGCATAGACATCGGAGGTGACTATGCATATGTCTTCTTTGTTTAAAATTGGCTGCATATATCTATGAGCTGTTACTACGACTTACCATCAGGTGGAATGTAAGTCCTTTTATCACTTCAGTTTTATAAAAATATAATTGATTCCACTGGCTAAGTAGTGTGTATATATAAACGACAAAAATATACCATCTATCTATGCAGTTAAAACGAATTAATAAAATTATCTACTCCGCAGAGCTTAAAAGTTTTATCCAATAGCAATCATCGATTAATTAATTTGAAACATGGACAATGTACATAGATGGGTCGAGTCACATCTTAGGACCACGCTCGCTACGTGACTTGCGATGCATTAAGATAGCATTCTACATATTCCGCCACCTGAATACCAGCGCTCATACGAAGATTGCCCTTAACGGCTTCATTACTTCAAAAGCATTATGTTAATAGACCGTTTTGCTGGTGTTATACCATCACGTCACGCGACACATGAAGACCTGAGAACTGGGTTAACGGTCACTGTTATGTGGTTGCTTGCAGTAGAAATAGGCAGCAGGCAATACTAACTCCATTAATGGCATAAAATTGTTGCTCATCAAAATTATTTTTCTTACACTAGTCCTACATATAAATCATGAAAGTACTAGCAGTTTCCTGCGACTTCGCCTGCGCGGAATTTATTTGCGCGGAACCCCAAAATAAAAGTAGCCTAAGTTACTCAGGTGGAAAGGCAGACTACGTAGAGTATGTAGAGTATAGTACAAAAACAGTAACGCTGAATTAATTTTTAATTATAATAATTGATAATTAATACATACATATATACATCAACGATCACACCTGTCACCCAGAGGGGTAGGCAAAGACTACGGTTTTCCATTTGGCACGATTCCGACACACCTCTTTCGCCCCTTTTACATTCATATCGCCAATTTGGTCGATTAACCTTCGTCTAGGGCGTGCCTACCCGATGATTTTGATACAATACTTAGTATCCAGGATTTTCATAGTTTGTAGAACTTCTGACTATATTTATATTCAATTAATACCTATATTCAATTTGATAATGGATTCAAATTAGTATTTAATTAATTAGTATTTAAAAAGGCAAGATGTTCAAATTAATAAGCTATTTTGGAATGGACACAAAATTAGATTTAACATTTTTATAATGAATTTTCCACAAAAACCGGATGATTCTATTAATTAGCACATGTGATGTTTATCATAACAAAAATATAATATTACAATTATTACGAATCAACTAAATTCTTTTTTTTTACATTGAAACAAGAGTGAGACACTCGACAAGCGACTATGGAAAATGCCAGAAGATTATTATGACTTTCGACAAATGTCGGTATAGGTAACCATTTCGTTTACACTAGACGTAGAATATCCAGCAAGAATGCAAGCAGCAACGTCGAAGTTGCGAGACGTCTGACACTGCGATCGTCCATCCGCCAGCCAAGCAAGACGATTAGCCCGAATATTCCCTACATCGGGAGACTACACACATTGCTAGTGTCACAAACACCGTTAGGTATCCACACCGCGTACACACCATACACCCGCGTGGTTTGGCGGTTATTACCGCCCAAAACAACGACCGATACGACTGAGTTAGGCTGACAGACCCAGCGTCCGCTCACCCTGTTCGAATATTTGTTATATAACTGAACAGTACACTCATTCGTGTTTAGGAAAACTCCGTACAGGAAATCTGACGTTAGGACACGATCTGAGTCACCATCAACATCATAATCACCTACATTTTATTTACCTCCCCATGTCAATGTTATTTTACGTGCTCATAATGAAGAATAAAATTATTATATACTGGCGTGTTGTTTCCCCGGTGGAGCCGACCCGATCATTATGAAGCCATGACAAGTTGCAGTGTGCCTTTATCATAAATAGATTGAACAAGTTCATACAAAATCCTAGATGTAATTACATTACATTAATAATAACCTTCACGTGCATCGCCATGTTAAAAGATCCCGAAGAGAACCCGACAGATGTTTCCATTCCCATGATAGTAATGAGATGGTCAGATAGCGGACCTAAGTTTTTGTGGCGGCAATACCATTTCTGAATTTCTACAAGACGAAAACCGTCCGAGGAGACATCGGGTGCTTTAATGCGGCTCGATGCTCTTATCTATCACATCTTATCGACCAATAAGGACGTCGGACGTCACTCAATCTGCCAATCTGTGGCCAAAGGCGCGGGCCCGCCACCGCGGGGGGCGATTTTAAACTGTTACAGTTATGGAATGTGTGGCACGTGGATGATATAATAAGGTGCACGTAACGGGATATAATGCTATTGATTCGAATATTTCACTTACATACATGATGTAGGTGATACGATTTTGGGTTATTAAAGATATTTTTTTATAGAACGAGTTGAATGTAAATTCAAGAAAAACAACTTCCTTCTGCGTTAATCCCATATCTCTGGTGCCCTTTGACCTACAGGACCCAAATTCAAACTCGACCGAGCTACTTCCTCAAGGTATCCACATACCAAATTTAAAGTCAATCGGTCCAATGGAACGGAAGTTATCGTGTCGGCATACAGACTAACAGACTGCCAGCTAAAACCATTAACTTCCTTTCAATGCTACGCAGAAGGAAGTTAACAAACGAGTACTCAGTCCACTTGATAGTAAGTGGATGCTATGGCCCACAGACATCCACATTCATCCCCAACCAAGAACCAAAATGCAGATGCGTTGTTACCCCTGAGGACAAAGCTGGAATGCCTCATGTCCATAAAAAAGGGTCTCCGGTCCTCTACACTCATACGAAACACAGCAGCAATAAGCGACTATGCCGTCCCATTCGTGTACCAACCTGCAGCAGTTACAAATAGCTGCAGCGTGGCTCTACCATGTACTTATAAAACGTTGAAAGCCACGTATGGGAATGTTTTAGTTATAGTTTTAATAGATACTTGGTGACCTGGTGACATTGTTCTGTGCTTTACGGTAGATGGCGCGATGAATTTCATTTCAGTTTCTGAATTTAGTCCAGACTTTTTAGAGTGTAAATATACACCACAAGTCGCAGGAATTAAATTTTGTAATTTTCATTTGAACACAACACTCAACAGCTCAACCTATGGGTTCCTAGCATAGCTCTATGAACCACCGTTTCGAAAAAACAAATATTGTATTGTGTGAATATGGCCTCAAATAGTCAAGTCAGTTAAAAGTTACACAATCACTAACAGAAGTACCAACGAGTATATACTCCTAATTACATTGTATATACATAACACAACCGTGGGCCGTAAACATAAATATTATAGATATATGAATGTCCTCTCCAAAGTAATAAATAAATATTTTACGAAGTTATGACGTCCGCCAACACGCTATGGAGCGGCGGTCCAATTACTTCATAATCTTTCTTATGCATACTCTAAGTTCGTAACCCTCTCATAACTGAGAGGCGGCCTCTGCCCTGTTGTGGGGCTTATATTATAATAGGCTATTACTTTGCTTTTTTTTATTTTATTTTCTGCTAATTTCAACCTCGCCTGCACATGACCCCGCTGTTTGGTGGACGGCAGTGAAAAAATTACATAATACTAACCTCTTTCTGATTAAACCGAAAAAAGTTCACTGATAGACGTAAGCTGATTTTAAACTTACAGTAATCGCTACGCTTAATTTGTATGACTGGAATAGTGACAATATTAGTACCCCGTCGGTGCTCTAAATATTGTAACTCAAGCGTGCATGAGATAAGGTATGAGGAGAGCAAGGTTATATACCGAAGAATGTCCATGCTCTGATGTAACATCAGTTGAAATTAGCATGCGTTTCATATGATCAATATTGCGATCCTTGATCCAGGTTTCAGGAAATGCTATTAGTTTTTTTTTTTAAGATGTAGGTCTAACAAATTAGCACACCATGTCCATAGACATATAAGTCTATCATCGATTACGGATGCGGATATAATATAGTAAACAAAATGCGAGTGCATTGATACACCTGAGGAGTAAGATGGAATGCGTTGTTAGGTGTAAAAAAGGTCTCCGTTTTTCGTCACTCACCATACATAAACACATAAGAGGTATTATGGATGCTATTTTGTGCTTGTATTCTGTACGAGCGTGGTCTTTCCCTGATCGAACCGACCAATTCGTGCTGTAACAAAAATAGAACTGCAGCATGGCTCTAACTAGTAAAGTCTTTTATTATCTTCACTTTTTTATAATTGTCCACAGGAGGCCGCTTCTGTTCATTCTCACCGTGCATAGAACAAGTACAGCGCACTTGCTTAGCTCTCAAAGAACATGGCTTCCAAGACATATCGACCATGGAAGTATTGCAGAATGAACTCAAAGTCACCAGACGGAACGTCCCCGTCAGAGACCTGTCGTTCCTCAAACATAAGGTAAGATTTTATATTGTATATATGTATATTCCCGATGTTAACGTCTCAGTGAAACTATGATATAATAAATACTACTATAATATAATAAATAGCTTACAAGATAACTCTACTTAAATATAAATCTGCGATAACCTTGAAATATTTTGTATTTAATGCGTTTATAATAAGGTATCAAGAAATAATGAACAGTTGTAAAAATTATATAGGTAATTTAGTATACAGTGTAAAGAAAGCATCAACAGTCGATTTTTATTTTTGTTCCGAGATAGTGAGTTATACTTGTTTGAAACAGAATCGTTTTGATGTCAATTTCTGGAAATGTAATGATTATTTTTATTTTAAAGCTTAAGCTTAAGTAAATACAAACTGGTTTTATTTTAGGGCCAACTAAAATTAATCAAATACACGATCCAGTAAACACATTAATTCATGATTCATCGGACACTTTGTAAGTAACACTAAATCTTGCCTTAGTAACGTGCGTACGGCATAGAGTACCTACAAGAGGCGACCAGGACGAAACCCGCCTGTTGACCCCACTGCAACTGACACATTAACTTAGCGAAGTTACGACGCAGCTTCGAACGCGAGGATCGATCAGGCCCTAACAAGCCGATAATTGACAGAATACCTTGCTCCAATATACGGGGGTTACGACACGAATGCACCTATGTTACACGCTACACCCATATGCGCGTTCATGTCTGCTACTGTGCTCATTTGACTGCAAGTAATTGTGAGGTGGTTGTGCACGAAGTGTTAAAAGCATTAATTAGTCGGTATAAGTGGGTAATTGATTTGTTATTCTTATTTCCATTACATATCGAGGTCGAATCTTCATTATCTTCTTTTTCTTCTTAAAAAGGAAATTTAATTCTTCTTACAAAGAAAGGAGATATGAAAATGAATTGCAAATCTATGTATAAAAAGCAATTTTATTCCAAAAAATATTATTTTAATATTTTTTATAAAATAAGGGTGTCAAATGAACACACGGTCCACCTAATGTAAGTGGATGCTGTGACCCATAGATATCTATATCTATTCTCGATTAAGAATCAAAATGCAGACGAGTTCACACTTCTGAGAATTAAGATTATACGTGGTAGAGCCATGCTGCAGCTATATTACTAGTATAGTTGTAGCACAAATGGGTCGGCTCGACCGGGGAAGGACCACGCTCTCACAAAATACCAGCATAAAATAGCAGCTTAACGCTGCTGTGTTTCGTATGGTGAGTGTAGAGAACCGGAGACCCTTTTCTGCCGACTTCCAAAAAGGAGACGGTACTCAATTTGTCTGTATGTTTTTTTTATGTGTGTTACCTCATAACTTTTTACTGGGTGAACCGATTTGTATGATTCTTTTTTTATTTGAAAGCTGGTACTTCTCGTGTGTCCCATATGAATTTGATCAAGGTCAGATCAATATAATTTTGAGTTATTCTTAATAACTCATATTGAAGTCGGCTGTACATAATTTTTAATTTTTAATTATTACTGGTAAAGAGGTATTCCATCTTAGTCCTAACGGATGACAACGCATCTGCATTTTGATTCGCAAACGAGATGTTGATGTCTATGGGCCACAGCAACCACTTACCATCAGGTGGACTGTGTGCTCGCTTGTCACCCTATCCTATAAAAAAAAAAGATGAATGGCTCGTTTCGTGCCAGTAATAAGGATCTCCGGTTCTCACGAATCATACAAAACACCTAATCGAGCGGACGCATTAGCATTACAGCCATATTACGGTTGCAACGCTACCACGTAAATATCAATTCATTTGCAGTCAGTTATATCTCATTTTAACCCTCTCCATGTCCCATGAATCATATATGAACATTTCAATTGTTTAAATATTGTGTCCGTTTCGCGGACAGGGAAACTGTTAAAATTATAGCACACTGCATGCTCACAGGCGCAAAAGAAACACACGGTAAATGTCTTGGGTTTATTATTATTGAGTAATTATGCTTAAAAATAAAAGTAAAATATACGATGGAATCATCATCATCATCATTACATCCATTGACTTCCTGCGTGTCTTACCAGGTCGTCACTCCATCTAGTGGGGGGCGCCCTACACTTCGCCTACTGGTACGAGCCTGCCACTCGAGAACCTTCTTCCCCATCGGTTGTAGGTTCTTCGAGCTATATGGCTGGCCCATTGCCACATCAGCATACAAATTCTTTGGGCTATGTCGGTTACTCTGGTTCTACTGTGGATATCCTCGTTTTTAAGTCTATCTCGCAGAGAAACGCCGAGCATAGCCCTCTCCATAACTCGCTGAGCGATTTTGAGCTTCCTCATACGGCCAGCAGTGAAGGACCACGGCTCAGATCCATAAGTCATCACTGGCAATACGCACTGGTTGTACAATCTAGTTTTCAGGTTTTGAGGTATGTCTGACGAGAAGATGTATCGTAATCTCCAGAACGCTGCCCAGCCGAGTTGAATCCGTCGATTGAGCTCTCGGTCAAAGTTGAACTTACACAGTCGGACTATTTGTCTGAGGTAAACACATTCGTCAACAACTTTGAGCTGAGTGCTCCCAACAACTACCGGCATAGGTGTGACGTGGACGTTAAACATGATTTTTGTTTTGTCCATGTTCATCTTAAGACCTATCCGTTGAGAGACACTACTGAGCTCATCGAGCGTAGTGCTTAGGTCTCCCAGCGATTCTGCCATAAGGACTATATCGTCGGCAAATCGAAGGTGAGTGATGTACTCGCCATTGACGTTTATACCGTATCCTTTTCAGTCCAGTAGCTTGAAAACGTCTTCCAATGCACCGGTTAACAGTTTCGAGGATATTACGTCACCCTGTCTTGCACCTCTCTGCAGTTGGATAGGTTTCGTACTCTGGTTTTGTACTCGGATAGCCATCGTAGCCCTACTATACAAGCACTTCAGCACTTCGATTTACCGACAGTCCATATATGGCACCGCTGAACTGCAGCACCGCCCAAATTTTGACGGAATCATAGTCCACATACCATGGAATAATTACATAATATTCATGCATACATTCATTATAGCCTATCAAATGTCCACAGCTATACATAGGTCTCCTCTATAGATATCCTGTTAGTAGGTTTATACGTGGTAGAGCCATGCTGCGGCTATATTGGTAGTATAGTTGTAGCACGAATGGGTCGGCTCGACCGGGGAAAGACCACGCTCTCACAGAATACCAGCGTGAAATAGCAGCTTAACATTACTGTGTTTCGTATGATAAATGTAGAGAACCGGAGAACCTTTTTTTACTGGAAAAGACGCATTCCATCTTAGTCCTTACGGGTGACGACGCTTTTGATTCTTTATTTAGGATAGATGTGGGATGTCTATGTGTCACAGCAACCACTTACCATCAGGTGGACTGTGTGCTCGTTAGTCACCCTATTCTATAAAAAGGTGGTTTAACGAACCAAATTTTTTGTATTATCATCGAGTTTTTATTAGGATGATGCTGCTGTCCATGTCCTGTTTCAGTTTCACTCTGTCGCCGCTTACAACACCCTCGGGATTATCCGAGTAGCAGCGGCGCACGAGAGTACATAATTATGTCAATACTAATAGTGTCAGTACTCATGCAACTAAGTCTGCGAAAACTTGAATGGCAAACTTTACGAATGGATTTACGCATACATGCATTAGATCCGTGAGATAATTGGGCATTGCGAATCTCCCCTGTACGTGAATACGACCATACATCTCCCGCGACGGCTGACGTAGATTAAGCTCCCGCTTGTTCCCGATGCGGACGCCACTAAACCGCGATTACTGTGCGTGTTTCGAATTCAATTGGTATAAAATTGCGTTTAAAGCGTTGATTTATCGTACCGTGGATCTATATAAATGGAGCGAACTGGAAAAAGTGGCCCGTCGTCGCTATTGCGATGCAACTCCGATATCGCGGGGGGCCCATTATGAAACCTAACTGGCAATATATCAATGGATCAAAGGATATAACACCATTCGAGAAGTTATTTCCTACTCATTCATTCATTCATAGTCTATCAAAAGTTAACAGCTGAAAATAGGTTCTCCCACAGGTTGCTTTATAACCGCAACACACAACTGCAGTTTTATTATTTACGAGTTGATATCATGAAGATACTGCTGCCCGTCTATATTCTATTTCATTTACCCCTGTCACTTCGTACGACATCCGCGGGTTGATATAAGATAGTGGATGCTTATACGCCGACACTACACGGCTTTTTAATATATCGAAGTGTATCGATATATTTTTATACGTGGTAGAGCCATGCTGCAGCTATATTAATAGTATAGTTGTAGCACAAATTAGTCGGCTCGACCGTGGAAGCACTACGCTCTCACAGAATACCAGCCTAAAATAACAACTTAAAGCTGCTGTGTTTCGTATGGTGAGTATAGAGAACCGGAGACCCTTTTTAATGGAAACAAGGAATGCCATCTTAGACGGCTGACAACGCATCTGCATTTTGATTCGCAAAAGTGGATAGATGTAGATGTCTATGGGCCACAGCAACCACTTACCATCAGGTGGACTGTGTTCTCGTTTGTCACCCTTATACTATAAGAAACATAGCATAATCTCTAGAAATGTGGTCAAACATCACAGTTCATTGGTAGAACTTAGCGTGACACAAATAACTTTCAATTAATTTACACAATTTGAGATTTTATTGTGATAAAGTAGAAAATTTAAGTGTCAGCCAATATGCTACATTCTACGTACTGCTTGATACAGGCCTCATCTCATTTCTAGAAACATTTATTGAAGTGAAAACTTTTTTCACTTCGTTGTAATTTGAAACTGGATGGAACGAAAAAGCGACATTAAAAAAAGACGTATACATAAATAGGATTTAGCCTACGTGAGAATGAGACGAAATACAGCGTAGTAGGCGACAGTAGCCTAATGGCTGGATACGGGCCGCGAACTCAAAAGGTAGTGGGTACGAATCCGCCATTCGATTATTTTTAAGCTTACCAATAGTGGTCA